TATAATAAATTTTATAACATATTTTAACTAAAAATTAAAAAAAAATTGTAAGTTTTTATGTAGAATTTTGCATAATAATTGATTGAAAATCATGACTAAATTTGAATGAAAATCATTATTATTTAAGGAATAAATTTGAATTTAATAATTGAAATATATTTAATTGATTACAAACTGTATTTAATATAAAAAATTACTCTATATACAGTGCTCATTAAAATACATATTTTATAAATTAATAAATTAATTTATATATAATTTCATATTTGAATGAATTTACTTATTTATTTTATCTAAAGTAATATTTAAAGTTTCTGTTAATTCTATAAATTAAAAATAGTATATTAATATTAAATTAATTTTAAAATTTATATAATAATAAATTATAAATATAATGATAAATATTACCAAAATTTGAACTAATTTCTGTATTTATATTATTTTGTTCAAAATTTTTATTTAAATTTTCAGTAAAATTAAGTAAACGACTTGTATGATAAGCTTGAGGATGAGTTTCAGCATTATTATTATTATTGGCATTAAAATTTTGCTTTTGTTTTAATGTTTTATCTGCAATATAAAATTCCATAATATCATTTTCTAATTTCTTACCTAAATCTTTTTTTTTAATATTTTCATACCAATTTACAATAATATTTTTAATTTCAAAAGCAGTTGGCCTTTCTAATGGATTTGTATTCCAACAACTTTCCATCAAATTTATATAACATTGTGGAATATTTTCAATAATTTCAGGACGTTTACCCTTACAAATTTGTAAAGCAAGTTGCTCATTATGTGCTTTATCATTAAATGGAGGAATTCCAGATATTAATTCCTACATAATCATAGAAAAACTATATATATCACTAGCTAAAGTATAATGTTGATTTCTTAAAACTTCAGGTGCTACAAATGGTAAAACTCCATAAATTTCATTTTTTTTAGTAGATAATTGAAAATAATTTACAGGTTTACATAATCCTAAATCACTAATAGATAAATTATTTCTAAAAGTATATAAAATATTACCATGATGAAAATCACAATGTATAAGCTTTTGTTGATGTATATTACTTAGTCCATTAATAATACTATATAATCTTGATAATTTAATTATTCATCTTTGATTAAATATATTTGATAAATTTTCTTTTAAATTACGTTTTTTTACATAACACATTACTATCATATAATCTAAAGTAATTAGATCTTGAGTAAAGCCATATAATTGAACAAGATTTTCATCTGAATATTTAACTGATTGACAATAACATTTATAATGATTTTTCCACTATTAAAAATAAAATTATTTTAGAATTAAATAATAAGATTAAGAATAAATTAATTATTTTATACCTCATTTAAAAATTCATTATTTAAATTTGATGAATTATTAAGACTTTTAAGTATAACTTCCATTTGACCAAATCTTTTCCATTTATCAATAAATAAATTGAAATTCCATATTTTATGATTATAATTATAAGATTTAATAAATCCATTTATCCAAATAGCTTTATATATAATACTAAATCCTCCTTTATCAAAATATTCAATATTTTTAAATTTATTATAAGGAATCCATTCTAATACTTGTTTTTTATTTTGAGTATTCAATTGAGCTTCTTGAATAAATTTGTCAATAAATTTATTTTTACTAGTCCAATTTGAAAAATCTTTTTTAAACTGCTTAGTATTACAATCTTTACACCATTGATATCCAGTTAATTTTTTATTACATTTTAAACAATCTCCTATTTTTTATAAATAATAATTATATTATTAATATTATTATTTTGCATTTATAATAAAAAAATATAAAAATTATTAAATTAATTAATTTTATAAAAAATAATCAAAAAAAAGTAAAAAATAAAAACAAATATAAATATCTTACCAACTATAATATATAATTTTTTAAAAAAAGATTATAATTTAAATTAAAGAAAATATATTGTAATAAAAAGTATAATTAAATATAAATAATTAATAAAAAGCTTACATCCTATAATAATATTTGTTTTAAGATAAAAAAATTTAGTTGATTTAAATTATATAAAAAGTATAATTAAATATTAATAATCAACAAAAATAATTACTAGCTTAAATAAAAAATTTAGTTGAGTTTAAATTACAATAAATTATATAATTAAGTACTTTTAATTAATAAAAATAACTACCATCTATCAAATTTTAAATAAAAATTTAATTAAGTTAAATTACAATAAAATGTATAATTAAATACTAATAATCAATAAAAAAAACTTACCATCTATTGAATTTTAAATAAAAAATTTATTTTAATTTAAATTATTTTAAAATATATAACTAAATACTGATAATTAATAAAAATAACTTACCAACTATTGAATTTTAAGTGAAAAATTTAATTTAATTATAAATTATAATAAATGTATAAATTAAATACTGCTAAACAATAAAAATAATTTACCAACTTTTGAATTATAAATAAAATATTTAGTAAAGTTTAAATTTAAATTAAAGGAAAATATAATTAAATACTGATAATAACTTACCAACTTTTAAATAAAAAAATTTAATTTAATTTTAAATTATAGTAAACAGTATAATTAAATATTGATAACTGATAATCAATAAAAATAATTACCATCTATTGTATTTTAAATAAATAATTTAATTAAATTTAAATTACAATAAAAAGTATAATTAAATACTAATAATCAATATAATAACCTACCCCCTTTAATAATATTTTTTGTTTTAAATAAAAAATAAAGTTGAATTTTAATTATAATAAATAGCATTACTAAATACCGATAATCAATAAAATTAACTTACACACTTTAGTAATATTATTTTTTTTTTTAAAAAAATTTAGTTAAGTTTATATTATAGTAAAAGGTATAATTAAATACTAATAAACAATAAAAATAACTTACTATCTATTGAATTTTAATTTATAATAAATGTATAATTAAATATTAAATATCAATAAAAATAACTTACAATCTAAAGGTTTAATTAATTATTTTTTAAATAAAAAATTTATTTGAGTAAAAAATATAATTAAATATTGATAATTAATAAAAATAACTTACATCCTTTAATTATATTTTTTTTTTAAATAAAAAATTTAGTTAAATATAAATTATAGTTAAAATAATTAAATACTAATTATCAACAAAAATAACTCACTCCCTTTAGTAATTTTTTTGATTTTTAAATAAAAAATTTAGTTGAATTTAAATTGCAGTAAAAAGTATAAACAATAATTATAACTTACCATATATTAAATTTTAAATAAAAAGTTTAGTTAAGTTTAAATTATAGTAAAAGGTATAATTAAATACTAATTATTAATGAAATAACTTACCATCTATTAAATTTTAAATAAAAAATTTAATTGAGTTTAAATAAAGTAAAAAGTATAATTAATTATTAATAATCAATAAAAAATAATTACCATCTATTAAATTATAAATAAAAAATTTTAAATTACAGTAAAAAATATAATTCAATACTAATAATTAATAAAATAACTTACCATCTAGAATTTAAAAAAAAATTTAGTTAAATTTAAATTATAGTAAAGTGTATAATTAAATACTAATAATCAATAAAAATAACTTACTCCCTTTAATAATATATTGTTTTTAAATAAAAAATTTAGTAGAATTACAGTAAAAAGTATAGTTAAATAATATTCAATAAAAATAACTTACTATCTATTAAATTTTAATTAAAAATTAGTATAATTTAAATTACAGTATAATTAATTGATTTAAATAATTACTTTCTATAATATTAACAATAATTAATATTATTATTTAATAATAATAAAACTTAAATTAATTAATTAATAAATTAACTTACGTTCTAAAATATTAAAATATAATTTAATAAGATTTAAATAATTATAAATAATATAATTAAATATTTACTCTTAATAAAAATAACTTACTGGCTAAAAATACCGTTAAAAATATTTTAAAATTAATTAATTATATTTAATTTATGATATTAAAAAATTAAAATAACTTACTCCCTATAATAGTATTATGATTGTTAGTTATTATTTAATTAAAAACTTAAGATATATAAAAATTAAATGGCTTACAAGCTATATAATTAATTAAGAATTATAGTTTATTTTAATAAATAAATGAATAATACTAATAATGTCTGACTTACCATTTATATCTTTGCTAAAAATTAGACATACATATTATTAATTAAAAAAATTATTAATTTTAATCCTTAACATAAAAAAAACTTTATACTCAACTCTCTGATATCATAAATAAACTAATTCATTATTTATTTTAAGTAGAAAGAATGGTATAAAAATATCTTACCTCCTACAAATTTAGATAATTTAAATAAGAATATATGTTTAAACAATTAAAATTTTATATTCTTACATCTCAGTAACTACTTCACAGGAATTTAATGTCCATGTATCATTAGCATTGATTTCTAGTAATTTGTTTAAATCTACAAGTGATTCTACATATCTTTCCATCATAAAAAATGTTTCTCCTCGATATCTTAATGCAAATGTATTATTTGCCTCCAATTTTAGCAACTTTATCAAATCTGAAAGGGCTAGCTCATATTCACCTATAACAAAATAAAATTTTCCTTGATATTTTAGTCTGTGTTTAGCATCTGATGATTGTAATGAATCTGAAAATCTATTGATCTGTTGACTAATTAATTCATCATTATATGGATTAAGAATTACAGCCCAATTCTCCTTTAAAGATTCATACATATCATCATCATTCATCACTACGAAATAATTAAGATTAATAAAGCAAGTAAAGAAGAAAGAAACCAAATAAACATACCTGTGTATTTGAACTTTTTATGGCCAAAGTTTGCTCCTATAGATCCACCTTGCGACATCATTCCAACACAAGGATACAAAGCATTCTTCAAATCTCGGAATGCAATACCTTAAATATACATAGACATTAAATCGACTTAAAATAACCAAGCATTTTAATACTATATTAGCTACCAAGATTCACTCCGTTTCTGGTATAAAGTACCGTATTATTTCTAAAGTTCACACTACATCCAATAGTATCACCAGCCATAAATTTTGATCCATATGGCTTGCCATCAGAGTTAAAAAATAAATTTCCATTATAACCATTATAACCCCACGAGCTATCTTCCCAGCCTACAATATAATAGTAATATAAATAATTTTATTTAACGAATTAGCTATTCATAAAAAGTAAAGGTTAAATTACCTGGCATTTTATTTAGGCTAGCTGATTGTGTGCAAAACCCAATTCCAATATCCCTATTGAATTTGAAAGAATAAAATTATAAATAATTAATTTATGTAACAAAATAAAAACAAATATTCTAAAGTTTATAACACACCCGTTATCCCCTTTATCTATAATGTCAACTTCAAAATAAAATACTGCACATCGTTCGGGAATTGGATAATTTGCTCGAATTGCAGCACAATTTTCATAATCACCCAGACCTTTATATTAAAAAATTTAAGAATGCAAGAATAAGTAATTCCATACGAAAACAGCAAATTGTAATAGTTATACAACATGAAATGTAATATACTCACCTGTATAAGTCACTATAAGCCTATCAAAATTTAGTTTTAAAAGATTACGTTCATCATTAATATCCCATGCGGTTGGTGAATCCATATTATTGTGTAGCCCTATTAGAAATAGTATTATGTGTGGAAGCTTTAAATACGATGCAATTTTTTTTTTAAGAAAAAAAACTTGATTCTCATTGCTATTTCTCAAAATTTTCATGCATAATTTGTGTTACATTTAATGAAAGCTTTAATTCCAATGAAAAATAATTCCAGAGCTTGCAAACTATAATGGTCTGATTATTTTTTGCTACTTTTTTTTTTTTTTTTTTATACATGATATTACCTTCTTTCTTAGCATCATCCGAAACTGACTCTAATGTTAGATTTATGGAAAAAAAATATTTTAGCTCACTTTTATTCCTTTATTTTACTAAATTTTTACCTTTATTGATATCAGACATAGTTATAAATTTATAAGAAAAAAATTTTTTAAAAATTTATTTTTAACCAAATTGCCTCGTACAACGTCAATGTGATACAACATTTTGTACTTTGTGTTATACTGCGAATACTGCGGTAATTATTTGAATTAAAATTCAACTAATATTTTTATTTGCTGACCTTATCCTACCATTCGTAATCATTACGAATTGGACGACTATTTATCAATAACGATATTATCATGCGATTTTATGATTTTGAAGTATATATTTCGGGAAATCAAAATTTTGGTAATAAAGAAAAGGTGTTGAAAATGCAAATAAGAAAAAGCATAGTAAAACATTATTTGGTCAAATTAGTCGAAAAAATGTATGAAAAATCGGTACGGTACGGTTCGGCTGATCAGTACAGTACGATCATGCTGATCGGTACGATCCTCCAAATTAGGGGGTTTTTTTTTTTAATGTATGTATGCAATTCTAACCGATTTTTCTATTTTTTCGTTAAACTTATGATATCAAAAATACAAAAATATCTTTTAACATATTTAATTATTATTTTTTAAGAAAAATGCTTTTTATTTATTTTAATATTTATTGATTATATAATCATGATTTTAACTATTTGAAATGTATTAATTTCTAATTATTTTCAAGCTCTTTACGTAATTTAATATTTTCTAATTCTAATTTTTCGATTTCAGCTTGAGCTCTACGATATGCTAATTGCCTTTCAGCTAATTTTATCTTTCGTTCTTCAATATCAACTTCTAAATGTAAGTTATTTTCTTGTTCATTATCGGATTCATTAATATTAATTCGGGATTTTTTGACTTTAGAACTATCTAATATTGCTTTCTTTTTATACCTTTTTTATCAGATACTTCTTGATTAGTTAAATCATGCATTGTTTTTTCTAATAATCGTTTTTAAAAAAATTAAAATTAATTCATTACTAAATAAAAAAATAATAAAATACTTACTATTCTTTTAATATTACTTTACAATTTCTTTTACGAATACCTTTAAAATTTTAATTATTTAATAAAGCTATTAATAAAAAAAAAATTAACTTTATACTATTTATTACTTACTTTTTCGGCTAATAGCTATTTCTTTTCTTTTAATTTCACTTTTGTCTCTTCTAGTATAAGGAACTTCAGATTTATTATGAATTTCTTTTATTTTAAAAAGACGTTCATCTAATTTTTTACCTCTATAAAAATAATAAAAATAA